TATCAAAACAACAAGAAAACAATCTCACTTTAGGATGATTTTGAGCAATGAAAATAATGCGCTGAACATTATTTCGGATAATTGCATAGATGTATTCACAGAATTTTCTTGGCTACAAACAGACATAGTTTGTCACTGCCTTCTTCCAGGAAGTTTCCTAGTCTAGTGATTGATTGATTGATTGATTGATTATCTTCCATGAAGTCATTTTCCACTCCTAGCAACTACATAGCTGGATTTTCTCTACGATGATCTGTCTTTAATCTATATTTTCAAATCTCCCAATAGGAGATTTGTTACTGAGTCCGTCCACCTTGCTGTTGGTTGTCCTTCTTTTGACTTCTACCTTTCCTAAAGCCTTTTCCAGAGAGTTGGGTTTTTTGTTAATGTGTCTGAAGTACTAACTAAATCTGACTATTTTTAACTTCTAAGCCTGAACAAGCCAAAGAGCATACACAGTATTCTCTAACTTAATAATTTTTTTTAAAAAAAGCCAGGAGCAGATATCTAAAGTTCTAAAGCTGCAGATGACAGACCAATACCCTTCCTGCTCTAGACCAGGGCTTTTCAACCGGTGGTACATGTACCACCAGTGCAGTGGTGGGATTCAACTGTGTGAACAACCGGTTCTCTGTGTGGATGTCACTTCCAGAAGTCCACTGTGGGCCTGGGCTACAAAAAATTAGCTACCGGTTCTGCCAAAGTGGTGCGAACTGGCTGAATCCCACCACTGCACCAGTGGTTCTTTAGCACCTGGCAGATGGTACGCGACCCCTAGCCAAGTGTAGCAGGGGAGGGAACCAGCTAAAGTGGTGCTGCACAGACCTGGAGGAGATCAGCTGGAGCTGCAGAGCTTGGCAGAAGCCCCAGGATTGGCACATATGGTGACATAGTAATTGGAGCTTCTGGAAGAGAAAAGGAGGAGGAGGGCAGAGAGAATAAAAGTATAAAAGGGGCAGGTTTTGGCAGGAGAGGGAAAGAAGAGGCTTTTATTTATTTATTTATTAATAAAATTTATATGCCGCCCAATCCCTAGGGACTCAGGGCGGCGTACAAAATTAAAACAATAAATATAACAATAAAACAATAAAATAAGTGCATTCATACAGCATGTCCAGTCGTATCCTGCCCCCCCCCCCGGGGACATCAACCCCAGGCCTGCCGGAACAGGAGAGTTTTAATGGCTTTCTTAAAGGCCGGCAAGGTGGGAGTAGTTCGAATCTCGGGGGGAAGTTGATTCCACCAGGTCGGAGCCATCACAGAAAAGGCCCTTCCCCGAGGGCCTGCCAGCTGACATTCTTACCAAAGCAGTGAGGAGAGACAGAGCAAGCGGCCTGATTTCGGAGGAAGGGTGAGTGAGCGAGTGGCCTGTTTAGCTAGCAGCCTGTTTTCAGGGGAAGGATGCGTGAGCAAGAGGCCTGTTTAGTGAGCGGCCGGTTTTCAGAGGAAGGGCACATGAGTGAACAACCTGTTTACTGAACAGCATGTTTTGGGGCGAAGGTTGAATGAGCGAGCAGTCTGTTTAGCGAATGGCATGTTTTTGGGAGAAGGGTACATGAACAAGCGGTGTGTTTATTGAGTGGCCTGTTTTGGGGGGAAGGGCAAGCGAGTGAGCTGGGCAGGAGCCCCAGGATCAATGTGTACTTCTGCAGGGCTATGGGGGCTCGGCAGGAGCCCGGGATCGCGTGCACAGCTACAGCTGATCAGTGCTTCTGCCGAGCCCCCCAGAAGCACTGATCAGCTGGACCCCGGCGCTGATCCTGGTGCTTCTACTGAGATCCCCAGAAGCGCCGATCAGCTGGACCCCAGTGGTGATCCTGGTTCTTCCGCTGAAGGAAGGAAGGAAAGAAGGAAGGAAGGAAGGAAGCAAGAAAGCAAGAAAGCAAGAAAGCAAGAAAGCAAGAAAGCAAGAAAGAAAGAAAGAAAAAAAGAAAGAAAGAAAGAAAGAAAGAAAGAAAGAAAGAAAGAAAGAAAGAAAGAAAGAAAGAAAGGAGATGGGAATGAGAAGGAGGGAGGCATGGTAGGAGAGAAAAAGGAAGGAACACCCCTTCCATGGTAACCACAATGCTAATGCGGCCCTCAATGAAATTGAGTTTGATACCCCGATATAAAAGGTTGTTAAGTGAATTTGGTTTCCCCATTGCTTGTCAAAAGGTTGCAAAAGGGGATCACATGACCTTGAGACACTGCAGCCATCATAAATATGAATCAGTTGCCAAGCATCCTAATGTAAATCACATGATCCTGGGAATGCTGAAACTGTCATAAGTGTGAAAAGTGGTCATACGTCACTTTTTTCAGTGTCGTTGTAATTTTGAATAGTCACTAAGCGAACTGTTGTAAGTTGAGGACTACCTGTACTTGATCACTTTTTTCCTTTTTTTTTTGTGGTCATCAAGTTTTTGACACCTTGCTAGGCGACTGGTGGCACTCGGATGTTGCCATATCCTAAAAGTGGTATAATGGGTGAAAAGGTTGAAAAGCCCTGGACTAGATCAGTGTTTCTCCATTTTAGCAACTTTAAGATACACGGACTTAAACTCCCAGAATTCCCCAGCCAGCCATGCTGCTTAGGGAGTTCTGGGAGTTGAAGTCTACATATCTTAAAATTGCCAAAGTTGACCAACAGTGTTCTAGACCAGGGGTTCTCAACCTTGGCAACTTTAAGACTTCTGGACTTCAACTCCCAGAATTCCTCAGCCAGCTTTGCTGGGAGTTGAAGTCCACAAGTCTTAAAGTTGCCAAGGTTGAGAACTCCTGGTCTAGACCACATATCCAATATCAGTCTGAGCCATACTTTTCATTACTTGCCCATCTGTTCCATGCCACCTTCACAAGCTGTGTGTGTGTTTTTTTTAATAGAGGCTAAGCTTACAGGGGCCAAGTCCTCGACTTACAACCACAAGGAAGCCCAAAGTTTCCATCAAGCTATAGGGTACGTTTGCCCCCTTTTACTACTTCTTGCTGCAGTTATTGAGTGAATCACTGCAATTGTTAAGTTCTTGATATGTGCAAAGTGAATCTGGCTTTCCCGTTGACGTTTCTTGCCAGAAAGTCACAAAAGTGATCTCATGGCCTCAGGATACTGCCACTGTCATAAATACATGCCAGTTGTCAAGTGTCCAGAGTTTGATCATGTGACCATGGGGATACTGCAATGATCACAATGTCAGATGACCTTGCCACACCCCTGGCTCGAACAAGAAACAAGCCGTTGAGTTCACAGGTGGTCGGTTTATTCACGGAACGTTCTGGCATGCGTTTGTCACAGAAACAGCAAACAAAGTTAGTGTTGGGAGCAGTCGCCTCCCAGCACTCTACATATAACCCTCCCGACCACCCCCACCCCCACCCCCATCCACCTAACCAGCATCCGGCATGCATGCCGGTAAGAATAGCCAGGCAAAGATGAAATGCCAACTTCCGGCTCCCTGCTGCTTCTTCATGTTGATCAGCTGTTCGGTGGGACGACCGTGGAACTGACACCAGTAAGAGCAGCCAGGCAAGGACGCAATGCCAGCTTCCGGCTCCTTGCTGCTTCTTCGCACCGATCTGCCATTTGGCAGAACAGCTGCAAAGCCGATGGCCACATAGCTTTGTTCTGCCAAGGTCAGGTCCCCTTTCACATCCAGGTAACGGGGGAGGGAAGGGGCTGTTGCTGGCCTCGACCGCTGCATCCGGATGCCTCCATCCACTGGTCATGTCCCCCTCCCCCCTCCCATTAGTGTCAAGCCCACGGAGGCTTGACACACAAATGAAAAAAATAGTCATAAGTCACTTTTTTCAGAGCTGTTGTAACTTTAAATGGCCACTAAACAAATGTTCGTAAAACGAGGACTACCTATTTAGCTTCCTTCTACATGAGTCCGACTGGTCAGCCATGCTTGGCAGGTATGTTAGCCCAGATCTCTGCTGACCCGTACTACGGGTAGTCCTCGCTTAATGACTGTTCACTTAGCAACTGTTTAAAATGACAACGGATCTCCAAAAGGTTACTTACGACCCAGATTCGAACTTACATCAGCTGCTCCCCATGCTCATGTGATCATTTGGGGCAATCAGCAATCAGCTCACATTGTTGGCCATTTGCATAATCCTGCAGTCATGTGACAGTGATTTATGATTTATTTTTTGGGGGGGGGGAAATGTGTTTACTTCCAGTTTCTGGCAAAAAACAAAGAAGCCCAGTGTGAACAATGGGTTAACATAATGACTGCAGCATTTGCTTTATGACCACTATGTTCATTTAATGGCTGCCACAAAATCAGGTTGGTCAGGTGGTGATCTGCTTAATGACCACCATGACTCACGGCCATCATTTCAGGCTCTGTTATAGTCGTAAGTTGAGGACTATCTGTACTATCTAGAACAGGAGCTTAGCATGACTTAGTCTTCCTCACTGTATTTCACTAAAGTCAAACTAAAGTGTTCCCAGCTTCATCTCCATGGGCAACCATGCACGCCACTCATTCCAAATGTTTTAAAGATGGTAGTTTATAAACCATAGAATATTAACAGGCCCTCGCAAAATAAAAACCTGTTTCCTAATATTATTTATTTAATCACAATAGAGATGGAAGGGACCTTGGAGGTCTTCTAGTCCAGCCCCCTGCTCAAGCAGGAGATCCTATATACCATTTTAGACAAGGGACTGACCAATCTCTTCTTAATATGCCAAATGGTGCTAAGAATTTTGTTATAAAATTATTTGTATTAAAGCTCATCCCTTGCTTTAAAAACAATACGAAAGAACAACGAACATGGATAAAAATAAATGATTTGCCCAAAGACTATTCCATTTTTAAAATCATTCCTTGTTTTCACTTACTGAATTCTTTCTATGTCATACCTTCCAGTTTTTTCACCCAGTTCTCACTACATTTATTCATCAACACTTTAGCACATATGCTACACATTCTCACTGCAATGTCTATACTACAAATGGCCTCCAGATGACCTCAGCTATTATGCCATTGAATTAGTGCATATGTTTTGTTTTACAGAGAATTTATCATTGTCTCACCTTGGAAGGATGAAGGCAGTTAATGGGGAAGCTGGCCTGCTTCCCATTAAGAAGGTAACTCCTAATCCAAAATGAATGTTTCATTATAAATTACAAGCCAAATTACCGTAGAAGGATTACATTGTTTTCTGTGTAAACCTTACCGTATTTCACCTGTACCAGTGAATGCAATGTTATGCAGTTGCTTTGGCATTTGACATTTAGCATGTGTTTTTGGATCCTGGTCAGTAAATTTTAAAGATCATCTCATTGTTATAGCTCTGTCTCTTTCTCCATTTTTTTAAAAAGAGTACATTTGTGTTAATACAGGTAATCCTTGACTTACAACAGTTCATTTAGTGACCATTCAAAGTTACAACGGCACTGAAAAAAGTGACTTATGACCATTGCAGCATCGCCGTGGTCAGATGACAAAAAATGGCAACTGATTCATATTTATGACGGTTGCAGTGTCCTGGGTTCATGTGATCACCTGAGTTCATGTGATCACTCTGTTTTAGGATGGGCGGTGTTATGTGCTGTGCAGAAAATGAGTTAGCCAAAGAAATTGAAGGTAGAGATAAGAAAAGAGAAAGGTGGTAAACTAGTTTACCTCAATGCTAGACTAATTCATATTTGTCCTTGAATACCATCCTTGACCTTTTACCACATCCATGCATTACATAATACACTGTATTGCCTTTTGTTCTTAAACTGCTCACATCTTACCTCTTTTGGAATTAATCAACTACACTGGCCTTGACTTTTTCAATCTTTTCTTTCCTCTCGTCCTATTAATTGATTTCTCATATACCATATTTTCCGGTGTATAAGACGACTTTCTAAACCATGAAAATCTTCTCAAAAGTCGGGGGTCGTCTTATTCGCCCAGTTGTCTTATACGCTGGAAAATACAGTATTTGTTTCACAGTCCAATTCCCTTCATTCTTTCTATGTGGTCAAATCTTTTCAGTGGACTTCTTTTGTACTAGTTTCACTTTTGTTTCCAATCCACTTTTAATTCAGTATCCTTCACTGTCGACCTCAGAAACTGACAGTTTTGTCTGAATGGTAAAACAAGTAGAGGTAGTCCTTGACTTATGACCACAATTGAGCTGGAAATTTCCATTGCTAAGCAAGGCAGTTGTTAAGTTTTTATGACTTTTTTGCCACAGTTGTTAAATGAATCCTGCGGTCATTAAGCAAATCTGATTCCCCCCCCATTGACTTTGCTTATCGGAAGCTATCTGGGAAAGTTACAAAAAAGTGATCATGTGATCCCAGTACAGTACAACTGTCATAAATACAAGCCAATTGCCACACACCTAAATCTTGATCACATGACCATGGGCATCTGCAACAGCTGTAAGTGTGAAAACTGGTCATAAGTCACTTTTTTCAGTGCCGTTGTAACTTTGAACATTTGCTAAACAAGGGGTTGCAAGTCAAGACTACCTGTACCTCATGTACATCATGATGGAGACTCCACACCTTATCTGTATGTTATATGTACTATAACATATTGTACACACAACAGGAATTGCACCACAGCACTCATTTTATCATCTACTATCCCATCCCCTAGTGCAGGGGTAGGCAACGTTGGCTCTTTTATGACTTGTGGACTTCAACTCCCAGAATTCCTGAGCCAGCAAGGCTCAGCTTGGAAACCTCTCCCTTTTCCCTCAGCATGGCTGGCTCAGGAATTCTGGAAGTTGAAATCCACGAGTCATAAAAGAGCCAAGGTTGCCTACTCCTTCCCCTAGTGCAGTGGTTCTCAACCTTCCTAATGCCGTGACCCTTTAATACAGTTCCTCATGTTGTGGTGACCCCCAACCCTAAGGGCTCTCCAAGCGCACACTGACACCGCCCACTCACCCACCGTGCCCGGGGCTCAGCGCGCCACGCCTGTCCTCGCCTCACTTCCAAAGGTCGCCGGCCTGCCCGGCTCCAGCTGGCCAGGGAGGGGGGCAGGAAGGCCACTCCACTGGCTCCGCCCAGTCTGGTTGGAGAAGCACCCAGGTGGGGAGAGGGAGAGAGAGAGAGAGAGAGAGAGAGAGAGAGAGAGAGAGAGAGAGAGAGCCAAGAGGGCGACAGTGCCAGCAGAGCTTAGTTCAGCCTCCTCCGCGGAAAGGGCTGCGAAGCAGCACAGCCTCCCTTAGGAGATGCTCGACAGAAACGAATCCGGAACTGCAATGGCCCCCAGCTCGAAGCCGTGTGGAGACGGATAGAGGAGCGGTGTCTCGGTTCCTAAGACCATTGGAAATATGTGTTTTCCAATGGTCTTAGGTGACCCTGTCGCGACCCACAGGTTGAGAACTGCTGCCCTAGTGGATGTCCATGATGTGCATTCATTCTTGACTCCACATATTGTTTGATCACAGGTGTAATTCTTAAATCCGTTCCCACAACAGCTCATTTAATTTATTTCCATGTTTCTCTTAATGTATCCTATATAAGAAAAGCAGTAGAAACTAACTCTTGTTTCTGAGTCATTTTTGCTCTTTTTCCCACAAACATGCTACCAACTACTTTTCTGCCAGCATCCATTTCCCCATCTTTAGAAAACATTCTCCCAAAAGTTCATCTGCATAATTTAGTTTTTTGCTACTTTTATATCACCTGGAATTGTTTGTTTTCCTTTACTTGGCCTCTGATACATCATTTTTTCAGAGCCACCCTTTTCATTGCAACATTCTTTCTATCTCACGTTTGCTGCAAATTATTTGGTGATAGGTCTTCTTGGTTCAGAACACCACATACCTAATGTCATTCAATGTCATCTTTACATCTTTTGAACTTATCCCTAAATGCATTTAAAAACTGGGGATATGATACATCCTTGTCTTCTTCTTTAATGCTGAATCTTTCAGGAAGCTTTCTATGACCCTCCCACATGCTTTAGCTCTATTATATTCTGCTCTTATATTCGTCAACACCCTTCAACTCTTTACATAAAACATTCTACAGTTCAAACCTGTTCACTTTATCATACCCTTTCTCTAATTCAACAGGCTTCCCTTCTCATACTGAAACATTTCTCAATGACCTTTGGGAGAGCATAAATCTTAACTGTACAACAGGCTACCTATCACAAAGCTGCACGGTGCCTCCCAGATTTTGCTCACTCTTCCCTTCTCCTATCCTTCTGATCAGAGTTCTGTCAAACATTTTCCCAGGAGCACTTAATCAACTAATCCCCCTGTAGGTTTTGCATTTTTTCCCCTGCCTTTCCTTTTATATAATGAGACAGCATCCTTCTAATCCAGTCTACAAAAATGTATTTTCTCCCTCAACTGCTTCCTTATCTTCATCCTTCCACCAATCATCTTTTTTCATACTTCCCATTAGTGTAAATCCAAACATTTCTCTGGCACACAATTCTTTGGAAGCAGTTCCAAGTGGCTTCTATATCCTTGTTCCTTACACTCACTTTATGTTCACTCTGCTAGGGAATTTCTTCTTCCTCCTCCTCCTCCTCCTCCTCCACTTCTTCTTCTTCTTCTTCTTCTTCTTCTTCTTCTTCTTCTTCTTCTTCTTCTTCTTCTTCTTCTTCTTCTTCTTCTTCTTCTTCTTCTTCTTCTTCTTCTTCTTCTTCTTCTTCTTCTATTTTACTTTGATTTCTTTCCTGTTCTACCATGTCCATTGGTTCTCAAGATTCACTTTTGACAACACCAACATAAATACTCATCCCGCATTTAGAATTTATCATCATAAATAATCAAATCAGTCATGCTTTTAGATTTATATATCCAGTGCTTTGCCATGTATACATATGGATAGACTTATGTTTAAAGTACATATTTGAAATGAACAAATCTTTTTTTAAGCAGATACATATCATCCAACATTCTTATTTATTCTTAGATCTCTGATGGCCCAATATTTTTTTTCTTCTACATCTTCAACTTGTTCCCACCCATTGGTTCACGTTACTTTGCAGATTTTACCCTGATGGATTGAATACGTGCAGAATATTGCATATTTTTTCTCCAAACTCATCTCATATTCTTCCACTATCACCATTCACTGGAACATAATTTGCAGCTATAACAAAACTATCAATTTAACCATCATACATACCTACAACAATCAGGAATATACTAATTCATATGTTATGACATTCTTTAATTCTTTTTATTCACAATTAAATCTTACGTCTTTACTTTCCTACATGTATTCACCAACATGTAAGTACAATAAAAAAATGCAATAAAAATGATATTGTGACTTCACAAGGCAAATGTCTGCACTTTTGTAATTGCTTTATGATGGCACATTCAGCTATGCAGAACTGGCTTTGCAATGTCATGCCATTTATCTATTCCAGACTTTCTCAGCAACTTTAAGATGTGTGGACTTCAGCTCCCAGAATTTCTCAGCCAGCTGTACTGCATGAAGAATTCTGGGAGCTGAAGTCCACATATCTTAAAGTTATGGATGTTGAGAAACACTGATCTACTTATTTTGACAAAACTGCTGGAATGAGGAAATGCTGTTGGGAAAGAGTGGGATACGGTGGGAAGAATCAGAGAAGCATGAGATTAAGTTCCTCTTTCTGACTGCGGTTTTATCTTTCAAGGGCCCTCAGTCCACACTGCTGCCATAAGGAATAATGAAAATAATGTGTACAGGAGTGTGAATGTAGCGGTTTTTTCCCCTGCAGTTCTTTAAAGCAGCTGTGTCATTTCTCAGGATTACACAGCTACTGCTTTGAACATTTGCCACTTCTGTTTTTTGAGTGGGGTCGTGGGGAATTGATTTCAAAGTGTCAGTTTTGAAACTTCTGGAGAATTTAAAACATTAGTTGAACTCATACATCAAACCTGACTGTGTCTGACCTTTCATTAGATTTCTTTTTATGCAGTTTACAAGTCATTGAGTTTTGAGTGATGTAGTTTCCACCAGTATCTGAAATGTCTCTAACATTAGCATTCTTTTCTCTTTCTTTACCATTTGAAGAGTATCTCAGCCTCTGCCTACCAGTAAGTACCTTTTTAGAGCAATGCAGCATCAAGAAGGTGAAAGAACATTGACTCCCAAGCATCAAATGTGTGAGCTGCTTCTTAGGTAAGAAGCATGACATTATTTTGGTTTTCTTTTTCTGTCCACAGAGGCCAAACCAAATGAAAGAGCCACACTGAATATGCATGTATGATTTTCTCACCCTGTTATGGAGGCAGTTTTTCTGACATTTTGAATGAAACCTCTTTCATTTTTATGCTTTCACAAATCTGTGGTATGTTTCATGGAGACAAAAGAACTGAAAGCCATTGCTAAGGATTTTAATATCAGAAATACTAAAAACATTAGAAACAGTAGAAAACTGATTACAATGAAAACATGCTTATTTTAATCAGTTTTCTAAGGCTGATAGCCAGTTGGCCTGGTGGCTGAATAGATATATAAAAAAATATTGAAGTAATTGTGGACTCTGTGTGCATGTATGCATACATACGTACATGGTTTTAAGTTAACTTCTGATCACTGTTTGGGCAAGTTCCTATAGTTCTCTTGGAAGATTTTTCAGAGGTGATTGCCATTGCCTGCTTCCTAGGGCTGAGAGAAAGTGACTGGCCCAAAGTCATCCATCTGGCTTTGTGCCTAAGGCAAGAATAGAACTCACAACCTCTCTAGGCCAGCGTTTTTAACTACTACACCACATTGGCTCCATATGGACTCTACTTTTTCTTATTTCACCCCTTGTGGGAAAATAAGTGATTAAACACTCTTTTGACCTCCCACCAGGCGTGGTTGTGCTTGCCCCATCCACAATGCTACCTAATGTGGGAATCAAAGATCCTGACACATATGGATGTAAACACATATAAAATGCGAATCTGATACCAGACTTGTGTAAGTTGATACGGTACTACCAATAGCAGTCACTATTATATCACACCCATATCAGTGTGGACCTTGAAACTTTGGGAAAGAAGCTCAGGAACCTGGAACCTTAGGCAGTAAGCTCATTTATTTATTTATTTTCAGTCAGTAGAATTGATCTCTGAAAGGAAAAAAAAGGATATAGGTGACTGGCTATATAAATAATGTTGGGGGGGGGGAATAGAGTTTCTGGAATGGTTGACTGTAGTTTCTGGATAATAGATTGCAAGCAAGAGATTTTGCTCAGCTAAAACCTGGTAAAACCTGATCAGAAGGGTTTTAAACTGAATCCTGTGTGTGTCAGAAACCTTGCCTCATGTAAAGTGCCTTATAGAATAAAGTGAGAGCTTTGCTTTAATGGGACCTATTAAACCATCTAATAAAAAATTAAGAAGAAGCTCATAAAGTTCATGGCTGTTGTCTGCACCATAATGTTCACAGTACAGGAAATAAATAAGATGAACTTCTAGTTCAGGAAGGCAGATATAATTTAATAGGTATAATAATCCCCATGACTGAAATATGGCAGTCTGTTTAAAAAGGAACAGAAGTTGTACTGTATGATAAAAGATGATAAAGCAGTCTACACCTGCTCAGAAATCCCAATGAATACCTTTGGTTATACTGTAGACACCATCTGAGTTAAAAGAAGCAGGAGAACAAATAAATGCAGGACTGTTGTTGTATCCCTTATTAACCGCCCATCCAAGGAGAAGACATGAGTGATGTTTTTCAAAAGCAAACTGCAGATTTTGTAAGAGGCGTAAAACAATATTGATGGGAAAATTCAATTATTCTGACACCTGTCTGAAGTAAAAAAAAAACTTTGCCATATGTGGTACCTCCAAGAAACTTATAAATTCTTGGCTCAAGTGTAGAGAAAAGCAACAGACAATCAACTATCCTAGCTCTGAAATAGGAAAGACTCAGGGCACATATGTACAGCCTGGTTACCCCATTGCTTGTTTTTTTTTTTTTTGAGGGGAGAAACAAAGGAGATTTATTCACACTATCTCCCTCCTCCCCATCCCAAATTCAAACTGTGGTTGTGCTTTCCTGATGCAGTTTTTTTTTTTTATTAAAAGTTTTATAAGTTTTACAAAAAAGAAAAAAGAATACAAAACAAGAGACAACATATACAAAAAAAATAAAACTAAACAATACATATATATAAAAAAAAAAAAACCCCACCCCTCCCAAAACCCCCCCCCTCCCTTCCCCCCCCCTGAGCTTCCCAGAGCAGAATATAGGCTTAAAAAGTAAAAATAAAAATTAAATTAAAAACTTTATATTTATATATATAAAAAGATTATCTATAATATATATAAAAATAAAACTTATGAAAAAACTATATAATATTTTTGTATACCCAATCTAAATTGTATAAATTTTATCCATTTATCCCAAACAGCAAAAAACTTCTCTTGCGTTTGTTGCTTTAAGAAAGCAGAGATCTTTGCCATTTCCGCCAGATAAGCTACTTTAAGAAACCATTCCTGCAATGTAGGCAAGGATTCCTTCTTCCAATATTGTCCTACTAACAGCCTAGCGGCTGTAATCAAATTTAACATCAATACAACCTCCTTTGTATCACAATCTGTAACAATACCTAACAAAAATAATTGCGGAGTAAATTTTACCCTCCTTCTAAAAATTCTCTGGATATTCCACCATACTTTGATCCAAAATGCTTTTATCTCTCTGCATGACCACCAAATATGATAATAGGAAGCCTCCTTATAACCACATCTCCAACATTTGGGTTGCACGTCAGGGTACATATAAGACATTTTTTGTGGATCAAGGTGCCATCTATAAAACATTTTATAAAAATTCTCCCTTAAGTTCTGTGCTTGTGTAAATTTGACATTTCTCACCCAAATATTTTCCCAGGTGTCCAATGAGACTGGCTCACCAAAATTCTGCGCCCATCTTATCATACAATCTTTAATTAGTTCCGTTTCTGAATCCAATTCAACTAAAACCGCATAAATTCTCTTAATGTGGGTTTGTCTTGAATCCTTCACTTGCTTAATAAGATTTTCATCTTCTCTAAGAAAACCCACCTTACAATCCATCTTCCATCTGTCTAGTAATTGCCTATATTGGAACCAAGAATAAATAAAGTTTTCTTGTGCTAACTCTTCCCGTGATTTTAATTGCCAGTTTTGTCCATCCCATTTAAGTAACTGTCTGTAAGACACCATATCCATTTTAACCCCTCTTTTTATTGCTTCTATCGCATGCCAAGGTATAGCCCATAATGGTACTTTGAAATCACTTTTATAATATTTTCTCCAAATCCTAAGTAAAGAGATTCTTAAGATATGAGATTTAAAAGCCCAATCCATTTTTTTATTGAATATTAAATAGGCATGCCACCCATAAAGTAAGTCCCATCCCTCTAGATAAAGTATCTCAGAGTTTGTCAAATTTACCCAATCACTGATTAGTGTTAAAACCACCGCATCATAATATAATTTCAAATTTGGTACCTTAAGTCCACCCCTCTCACGGAAGTCTTGCATAATTTTAAACTTAACCCTTGGCTTTTTCCCTGCCCAGATAAATTTATTAAGACCCTTCTGCCACTCATTTAAATTAATCTCATTTTTCAAAATTGGTAACATTTGAAACAGAAAAAGAAACTTGGGTAAAATATTCATTTTTATCACTGCAATTCTTCCCATGAGGGATAATTGCAACTTTTCCCAGTTCTTCAAGTCCTTCTGTACCCTGACCCACAACCTTTCATAATTATTTTTAAATAATTTTACATTAGAAACAGACAACATCACCCCCAAATATTTTACCTTATTAACAATCTCAAAACCCGTCAGATTAGTCAAAATCTGCTTCTCCTGACTAGACATATTTTTAGGTAAAATTTTGGTCTTATTTACATTAATCTTGAAACCCGAGACCAAGCCATAATGATGAATCAACTGTAATAAGTTTACTACAGAATAATCAGGTTGCGACAAAGTAACAACCAAGTCATCCGCAAAAGCTCTTAACTTATATTCTTTTTTATTAACATATATTCCTTTAATTTCCTGAGACTCTCGAATTTTGATCAATAATATTTCCAATGTTAAAACAAACAACAATGGCGATAAAGGACACCCCTGTCTAGTACCTTTCTCTATTGTGAAAACCTCCGAAAGACCTCCATTAACAATAAGTTGTGCTGTTTGTTTTTGATATATTACCTTAAGGGCTTGTAATATGTTTTCACCAAAATTCATTTCTTCCATTACTCTTAGCATAAAATGCCAATTCAGTTGGTCAAATGCTTTTTCAGCATCTAAAAATATGAGCCCTGCAGGAACTTGGTTGTTCTTATCTAAGTATTCTAATAAATTAATAATTTGTCTAACATTGTTTTTCATATACCTTCCTGTTATAAACCCTGATTGATCTTTATGCACAAGATGATGCACCACCCTCATAAGCCTATTTACCAAAATTTTTACAAATATCTTATAATCCACGTTTAAAAGAGATATAGGCCTATAATTTTTTGGTAAAGTAAGATCTTGATCCTCCTTTGGAATCAATGATATAAAGGCACTACGCCATGAAGGAGGAATCTCTAAACCCTGTAAGATACCATTAAAAAGATCATTTAATGGTTGGATCATCTCCTCCATTAAAGCTTTATAATAAACAGCTGTTAACCCATCCGTACCCGGTGCTTTCCCTAATTTCAATTGTTGAATTGCTGAGGCAATTTCCTCCTTAGTAATTAAGCCATTAATTTCATATTTCTGATCCTCAGTCAATTTAGGAAAACTTGCCTCAGCTAAATATTTATTTATATCTAACAATTGTACATTAGTAGATTTATATAAGTTTTGATAATAATCCAAAAAAGATTTTTTAATTAATTCCTTCTGAGAAACTAGTTTACCCTTGTAATTTATTTTCTCTATTATTCTCTGTCTCTGTTTCTTTCTTAATTGATAAGCCAACCATCTCCCCGGCTTATTAGCATTACAAAATGTATTTTGTTTCATAAATAATAAGTTGGTTGCAGCTTGATCTGCTATCAACATATTAAATTGTGACCTTAATAACTTTACAGATTCTTTAGTACTTTCATCAGAAGGATTTAGAATCAAAGCCCTTTCTTTTAATTTAATTTCATCCTCAAGTTCTCTACGTTTCTGAATCTGATTTCG